TAAGGTAACCTGGGTGGATGGATCAGTGGGGTTATCCTTATTGGAAAATAAATTTATACGAGATGGAGAAAGTAAAGTTGTGTTGAAATCATTACACAATTCAAAGTAAATTACTTCAGAGTTCATTATACACAGGTAAATAAACATTTTCTAAAGTGAAAGTTGCTTTTTTATTTTCTGATACAATAAAATTTTTCAAAAAAGATTCTAATGTATGTATTCTATGCAGAATTTCACAATTATAAAGTGAACTCAAAGATGGAATCAAATACTCATCACTGTAATGAATGTGCTATTTGTCAAGAGAATAGATGCTGCGATGAGTATTTAGTTCTCAATACTCATGATTATGGTAAATGTTGGAGTTGTCAACGTACTGCTCAAAATGTTCAAATATCACAAACGAATTTATGGCGATGCGGAAATAAAGATGTCGACAATCTAATAAAAGAGTGTAACAAAATTAATTATGAACATCAAACTATATTCGAATGGATTCCTTTTGAAAGATTTACCAACGTTGAATATCTTGCGAAAGGAGGTTTTTGGTCGATTTATAAAGCAACCTGGTTGGATGGCCAATTCAAAAATGGGATCATTAAAAAAATACACAATTCAAAGCAAGTTACTCAAAAGTTTAAACATTTTTTAAAGTGAAAGTTATTTTTACTTTCTGATGCAATAAAAATAGATTCAGACTGCTATTAAAATGCTATAATGGTGGCAATATTATGTATTATCGTTATGGAATAACTAAAAACCCAGTTACAAATGAATATTCGATAGTGATGACTTATGCAGAAGACGGTGATCTCCGCAAATATATTAATTCAAAATTTTCTTGGGAAGGAAAATTAAAACATTTATATTTGATTATCGATAATCTAGCAAAAATTCACGCAGAGAAATTCGTACATCGTGACTTTCATCCTGAGACTATATTAATGTTGAAGTATCCTCGAATTGCTGATTTTGGACTTAGCATACAAACAAATATAGAAAAATATAAGCAAGAAATTTGTGGAGTAATTCCTTATGAGTCCAGAGGTGCTAAACGGACAACCATATACTAACGCGGCAGATATTTATAGCTTGGAATGATCGCGTACGAAATTGTAACAGGCAAAAGACCATTTGGTGAGCGAAGTCATGACATCTATGAAGGAGTACGACCTACGATACCAAATAATATTCCCAGATTGTATGAATTTATTATTGAAAAATGTTGTAATCCTATTCCAGAAAACAGACCTACTGCTAAGGAACTTCGAGACTTTACTTACCCTATCCGCTATATATAATACTGCTTACTGGGAACTGAATCCTTTACATTTTCAGTATTACAGTTCTTTAGAAATTAAAGTGTCTTAAATTAGAAAGACAAAGATTAAAAGAACTTGAAATTACAAGAAATCATTCTTAACGAATAAAAACCAAAAACAACCAGATCATCCAAATGCAATGTACTCTTTACTTCAAAATTAATTTCAATTCCAACTGATAGAGGTTCGTATAGGTGCATTTATATGCACAATAAAAGTGATATTCAAAATTTATTTAGGTTCATTTTGTATGTTCCAAATGAAGGTAAATTCTTAACTTTTCAAAAAATACAGTGTTAATATATATTTACATAGAATTCTAGCATATGCGACTACCGAATATTATATAAATAAATATATCGATGCCAAATCAACAAATGTCAGTTTGTATGTACCAAACGAAGTAAATGAAGGTAAACTTATAATATGATTATTTATTTTACTTTACAATGTTAGCTCACGAAATTTGATATCAAAAAGTTAACCATACAAAATGTAAATATTTTTAACAATGATAGAGTCACAACACAATTAAGACGTCATATACTATTCCGAAAAAAACTAGAATTCAAAGATTATAAACTGAACAACAAGCGTTCTTTTGAATATTTGTCGAAAGAACAAAATAAACGGGAAAACTTTAATCAATGATTTATTAGCAATTGTGATGAAAAGAATGGTCAAGGTATATTTATGTTAACCACCAATTGATGTAGAACGAAACCGTATCGACTCCCTTTTCGTAAATTCCTTGTTTTATGGATAATTTATCTTTATCCAAAAATATAAAGAATAGTTAGGAACGAATGAATGAATGAATAAAGTGTGCTTTAATTAAAAGCCTGATTTTTATAATTGACTTGTGTGCAAATTCTTCTTACATAATCATCTTTAACGCACCTTCATATGATTGTAAATCCCATGAATTTTTATTAATAATTATGTTGCTTGATCCTGAAAAGATGTATATTATCTTAGTTATTGTGAAATAGAAAAAATAAAGATGAACAATATGCATTTGAGCAGACTTGAAAGCAGCGGGAATCAGGAAATCTTAATGCACAATATATATAATTGTATTGGAAAAATATGAAGACAAAATCATAGTCATGAAGATATAGTTATCAAAGAAATTTAATTTCAAAAGATATGGAAAAAGCTTTATTCAAACACCTTTTAACCATGGTAATTCTCATTTCTATTTTTGACTTGGACAATGCAATGAATATAGAGAAGGGACAAACAAAGATGAGAGTAAGCATTTAATTGGTATTTAAGAGCTACCTAGTCCGGATACTATTTGATCTTGAAGATTCTATCAGTATGAAATAGGTTTTCAAAAATTTTGACTTAGTCTTAAAGAAGCTCCCGAAATTTTTCAATTTCGAAAAAATATTTTCTAAAATGTAACTAAAACGTTTTATCAACTTTTTGATCATTTATTTTAACCTTGAAATAACATATAGTATTCGTATTATAAAGTTATTTTAACGCCTAGCATTCTGCTATCAATTCTGGATTATCTTTATTAATCAATTTATCCAAATGTCTATGGTGCATAACATCTATACTCATCAAAAATGCAGATCAATCCCGAAATTTTGAAATGACGATCTTCACGTGATATAAGTATATTCGTTAATTTTATTGGCTCACTAAATCCGACACTATATTACAACGTATCTAATTTATTTAAATCCTCAAAGATACTTTTATACTTTATGAGCCTCTTCCAATTCGGTTGTATTACGCGGAACACTAAAAAAAATAAAAAAAATTATTGTGTAAAATAGAAATGATGGATGAAAATAAAATTTGCATTGATTGATGAGCAGCATTTTAACAAATAAAATGCACCTACCTTTGACTCTCGCCAATTAAGTCATGTGACTTAAATGATCGACATCTAATTGCTGATTGGTCTAAAATAGACCGATCGGCATCCGAAAATAAAAATAACTTTACAAAATACTAAATAATTAAAAAACTAAACCGTGAATCTGAAAGAGCATCACTAAAATTATCATTTTCACAGTTTATAATATATTTAGAAGTTATACAAAATTGTTTGATGATTATAGATGTTACGCACCATACATTCGAGGATTTTGTTGGATAATTGATGATAATATGATTAATATCATCTAAATTCGAATTTTGATTTCGCATCGATCTTTTTTTTTTGGTTCTTTAATTGGATCATATTATATAAATTATATATAAAAAAGAAGAGATTAATTTTAATCACTGCAATACATAAGGAGGCGGAGGGAATTAGATTACTAATAATTTTTCAAAAAAACTTGGACAAGCTGTCCAAATTGTTCAAGGATCAACCTTGCAGACTGTATTATCTTTCCTTATATTGAATTTGTTTTTCTAAGTTCTATTTACATGAAATATTAGTTTGAAGCAAATTTTTTGTGACTTTTGTACACTGCATTTATTTTTCTTTGGCTTTTTCTTAGTAATCATGAATAAGCTTTACGTCAAAGAGATTTACAAAGAAAAATAGTAAATTAGTATTAAATACCATAATTCGCGGTGCAAAATACCCAGGTCTTTTCTATTCCACGGAAAGTTAATTAATGAAAAAACGAAAACTATTAGCAAAAATATTTTGCGTGGAGAATTACGATATTTCCATTTCTTTAAACAGGAACGTTTACCATTATTAGAAAATAAATTTATATTGCTCTAGAACAACTTTTTTGACTATAAGGGAAATTTTTATTCTTTTCTCGTACCATTTTTATCGATAAATGTATTATTTAAAATAAATATGTAGCAAAAAATAGTTTCATCATTTATATAATAAAACATAAAGAAATGCGCTATCTTCTAGCTAATTACTATACTATGAGTATGTAGCTTAAGCAAATATAAAATAATATTGCGTTAAACTAATTATTTCGATTTTATAATGATACATCTATGTATGCTAAATGTTAAAACGCGAAAAGTATAAATTATGAAATATGTAAATTAATAAACAAATTTTGAACCATAAGAGCATCAGGTTTCTTAAAAAGAGTCGTCTCTAGTCTGTGAAATATCCGTCGATTGTTATTTTTTTCAAAACTAATTTATGTACATATATTTACTAATTTTTTGATTATTTATAACTGAAAAAAATCATAGCAGCATGATTATATCAGCCAACAACAGAAGTTCACATGTGTATATAAAGAGGATTTAATTCAACGTTGCTATCAAAGCACTTTTCAATTGATTATTCAGATGATAACGAACTTAAAATTTTTAAATTTATTGAAAGGATGGGGACTCTATAGAAATATAGCAAATTTATATAATGAACTTCTTTTAGGATCTTCACCAGTTCGTTATAGTAAGCGTCATCTGTATTATTTGAAGTCTAAATCAAACTTTTTAAGCTACAAAACTCAATAAAGGTACAGTTACATTCTTAATATAACGTTTTAATACGATTATTATGTATATAAAAAAGAAATTTGCATATCTGTAATTTCGAGTAGATTATTCAACAATCAATTAAAGATCAAAAAGATGGGAAGGTCTTGATTTGCATTATATTAAAAAAGGCGACTCATTACTTTTCAACCAATCAATCATCTTATGAAATCAAATGTCTAATAATGGGATGGAAATAAATCATAATTTTCACATATACAATCTTTAAGTAATTGAAATTTAAACATGAGCACCGGTAAGAGTACGCTACGAAAAAGACGAGATCGTTTTGAAGCAAAGCATGCGTACATATATTTAGGTTGTATGTTCCCCTCAAGTCAGATACAGTATTTACAAAATTATTGTTTGGTAAGTATTACTTTTAATGAAGATTGATTATTCGATACTGCATTCATTCTGTTAAAATTATTAATTATATTCTCTTATAGCCGACTGAAGAGGAGCAGCATGCAAGTCATGATAATCATGGGCGACCCCGGGATAATATGACTGAGTGTGGAATTGAGACTTTCAGAAATTATCATTTTCCTGCTGATTCCATTGGTGGCTACATAAACAATGACGAATATATCCGAAAATTTTAGAGCTACTGAGGATGCAACTCTTAGCGAAAATGACGATAACGGAATAAAATAGGAGAAAGTGGATGAAGTTCATAAACAAGAAAGGAAATAAATGAAGATAATAAACGAAAGAGAAAGAGAAGAATATGGAGATAATAACAAACTAAAACAAGAGAAAGATGACAAAAGAAATGATTTTGATAAAATTTAAATGATAATAAAAAAGAGGAGGCTATTAAAATAGACAAGTTTTAGATGAATTTGATTTTGATGATTCATATTATGAAGAATTTGATGATGAAGGAAATTATATAGGTTTCAAGTTAAATTTTATATGCAGATAAAGAAATAGTTGTTGCTCTGGGGCAAAATAGCGAACTTGAGTCTGACGATGATCAGAAGCTGCTTAATAACAGGATTCATGTCAATAGATATAAAAAAAGAAAGTACATGTACGAAGAAGATAAAGTTTATGAAAATAAAGTTTCTCACAAGAAACTTAAAATCTAAAAGTTAACATTTTAGAAATTAACAATTTTAAAAACAATTAATTCTATATATGTACCAAGACAGGATGTAGGATCAAATTTTCCGTTCATGTGATTATCCGACATCAATTAGCCAATGAAAAATCAGGATCAGGTCACAAAAATTTTTCTTGCGCGATTTTGTTATTATACTTAATGTTAATTCAACCTGAAAAAAAACTTTTAAACAAATTTTCGTTTATTTCTTTGATGTTGGATTCACGTGAACGAAAAATCGATCCTATGCCCTGTTAAAAAATAATGTTATATTCTCGAGTAATTGTGTGGAGAGATCAAACATTTCAGAGTTGGATTTGTTAAATTCGGATGTTTCAAAGGAATACTGGATAACAAAATATTAGTACTTATTTCATCAGTGACATAAAAATCATAAAAAATTATATCCGGATAGTAAAAGAAATAAATCAGTCAGTAATTTCATTATACTAAACAAGTTCGTAATTGAGCACAAGGAATCCTCGTAACCTAAGCTATACAAATTCAAATTATTTCTCCTCTAGAGTTTTTGTCAGTCAATTCTTTAATTAAAAACAACATTATCATGTCATGAAGAAATGTTTTAGTTCTGGAAATATATCAATGCTGAGATAATTAACATTCAAGATTTCTTCTTAGATTAAATAAATACATCAAATAAATATTATTTAATTCAGAGAAACATGTAGATATACAATTATATAATAACTATTATGGGATAGCTTTTCAAGAATTTTATGTGAATTTTTGCTTTATTTCCTGAAGAGTTAGTATTTTTCTAATAAATATCAAAATGTGCCATTTTATTTTGTATTGTATGTTACAGACACTTAGGAATGCGAAATTTTCTATGTATTATATCTCAATTCGCTGACTATAGTATTTATAATATTAACACATAAGAAGAATATTCTAGAAGTATTTTCCGTTAAGCATATAGTTTATTTAATAAATTCGAAACATCAGGAAGAACTAAGAAATCTATTAGTGATAAAGTCATCTTTGATTAGAATAGCTGTCAAACTTAGAATCTATTTTGATTAGAAAAGTAATACATCATTTTGAAAATAAAACTGCGATTTTTATTATTCAAAATCATTATTTATGATCAATATATATGAATAAAATCCAATCATAATCTTTTTAAATCAGATATATAATTCTTAATATTATTTTTAACATATTACTATTATATATCTATTAATATGTGAATTTAATTTTATTATTGGTAATACTTTAAATAAATAAATTTATTACTAATTTATATTATTAACTTCTTATTACTTATATATTATATAACTACAGTGTGTAACAAAAAAACTAGATATTTTATTTTTGGTTATATTCAATGAATATTTATTTAATTCATATAAAATTTTAAATATATAGACTTGATAACCTAGTGAAAAAGTTTACTTAAAAGTATTCAATAGCTTATCTTAATAAAATTTTTCATAATTAATATTTTTTTATTAAATTTTTTTTTTTTGAAAAAATTGATTATAAAAAATTTAAAATACTTTTTTAATCTTTTTTTATTTGTTATTCAATGAATATTTATTTAAAT